TGTCACGGTTCGAATCCCGCTGATAAGACTGATGCGAGGTCGAAACTGCAGTGCACTAGTGCCTGGATGAGAACAACTTTTGGGAAAGCAAGTCTATGTAAAATTCAATGGAAACGTCAGCTCAACTCATATGATTGTGGGAACATTCTACTACCAGTCCTTCATCATCTTACACGAAATAGGGTGAATACATCTCATTAAGTTTTTTCTGTCATATGATGGACATTATCAGAGCCTTCTTTTTGCAATAACCTTGAGTGAAAATTAAGTCAAGAAGAATTCTTAACCTTATGTGTTAATTACTCGGACGAGGGAATTGCGTCAAAATAAGCTTTGTATTAAAGCCAGAGGGCCGACGAACAATGGGACTTATTTGTGGCTTTCCGGTGAGATAAAATAGCGAATCGCTTCATCATCTATTTGCATACGAAATAAAAGTCTTTATAACAATGATATTTGAAGGTCTCTTTTGGAATTTCGTCTACATAAAACCTCCAGTCCTAGATCTGCTGTCTGTCTGGTTGTTGCATAGTCTGGATAGAAGTGAAACGATGGATCGTGAGATGGCAGGAAATTAACTAGTCACTTTCTATCATGTACAAGATCCAAGTGGATTTGATGAAGGCCAGAGGGGTGAGAGAAGATAAATCTCCTATTCCTTTCTCCGCAGCCTTCATCGGAATCTGTCGCCATTTCAATTCACTACTTCATCCTAACTGATCAGTCCATCACTTTTACTTACCTGCTTTCTTGATTGATAGGCCCTAGCACCTAATGGCGTTTCTAGTTCTTAATTCTCAAAGTTGAAGATGATTCAGCTTCACGCATGGCTCGAGAAAAATTGTTTTTCACTTTCAAGCCATAATACTTTTTCCAGCAAATATAAAATGTCTACCCTCCCCAAAATTATCCATAATGCCTGCACACATATGGATACATGTATAAGAATGTACACAACGGCATGCAAGCCTACACACATTTGTTCACACACACACATGCACACACGCATCTCTACTGATGTCCCTAATTCAGTTGCTTTATCTGGTGCGAGCTGTCTGGCCAAGCGAGTCTTCCTCTCAAACGAAAGACCTCAAATAATGATCCAGACAGCCAACCCATTTGACAATACCCTCGGAAATACTGTGTTTTTTCGCAGACACCAGTCGTCTGAATGTCTTAGGGGTTCCCAAGAAACTGGTTGCCTGAAAGTCTTTGGTCTTGAACGCAAGAAACAGGCTGATTTATGCTGAGGCAACCTTCGTTGATTTGAATCAGTGGAAAACAGTCGACTTTGGGTGTGCAGGCCAGTTTCGCTTGTTGGTAGCCATACTAAACTCACCTCAACATCCTCAACTGGTTCGAGATGAAAGAATGAAAAAAAATATGTAGGTATTTTCGAGATGAACTAAAAGCCATGGTGATTTCTAGAGGTGAGTATGTATACCTGCGTGTCTCTGTACCTGCTAAGGCTATCCTGTAGATTTAGTAAAAAAAACTTAATTCAGACAACCAGTCAGATTTATATGCCTTTTGAACTGCTTCGTATAAGGAACCAAAAAGTGTGGCACATACGAGGCATAGATTGATGGTCAGGAGAATAAGGAAATAGATATATGGACAACCTTATTGGTAGCTACATTATTGGACAGACAGAATGGCATACTTTGTTTTCGTTTATAAGCAGGTTATCGAGACTACCAGAAGCTCATGCATACGAAATGTATTGCCCTATTTCGTTTGGGGTGATAAGGGTTCTGGGAGCTGAATTTTTCCACAATGATTTGAGTAGACCTTGAGTTTGCATTGAACTTGGCATAACCTTGCTTTCCAAATGGTATCTCATTCAGGCAGCAGAGTGCCGCAGTTTCGGCCTCGCCTAGGTCTCATCAGCCCCCAGCGGGACTCAAACCTGGTCTGTGATAGTGCCGCGTATAATCTCGACAGGTTAACCGCTACGCAACAATAACGCTAATGCCATTGGCTCAAATAGCAGATGTGAATTTCAATCAAGGCCAGGCATTTTCCCGTATCTCATTCTGGTGTGTGATTTTCGATGAAACGAGGTTGCCTTTTTTTATATTAATTAAGTACATTACTTATATTTCGTTGGTAAGTAGGTTTTCGAGACTCGTTAGCTTAAATATGTTTGTAGGGATAATACCCTGTCCATTATACGATGGACGAAAACCTGGCACGTCTTCATCGGAGTTGAAGGAGATTGCTTTGGAAACAGCGTCAATAAGAATGCTCATATAATGCCAATCTAAAGCTGCTCAATAGGAATCCTCAGTCGTCTTCTGCTTTGATCCACATTTGAATCCATTCATCAAACACTTTCCCTAGAAATGGAAGTAAGCCTAACAAGATTATTGTAACTCAACTTTTATTTGCAATCATGCTCACTTCTTGCGTCTAATTTTGGGATCGTAATAGGGCATCACATGTGCCCTAGATACATAAACGAGCCTTTGATTCTGCAAAGTTGTCGAGTGTTTGGGTGCATAGTTGTAAGTGCACATTGCCTTTATTTGCTGCGCCTTGGTCGTTGCATCTTCCCTTCTATCTCTAAGCCTCTCCAACTTCCACGAATAGCGCTACTTATTTCATACACTCAGTTCTCCTATTCAAGTTGTGGCTTTCTTGCTTATATTTGAATACTCGCAAATATTACAAACTGATCTAGTTCTTAAGACTTTCTTTGAAGGACTTAAAACTACCTGGGGTAAATAAAGCTCCTTTTCAAAATCTACCAGTGTTTGTGAAGTCTTACTATAAAAACGAACATTATTTCTTAATTTTCCGTTTTGCAAGTGGGGTTGAGAAAAATGGGTAATGTAGTCTATTGAAT